TGGTATCGTAACAGGAACTACAGCAACAGGAGGAACTGAAATATATCCTGGTAGCACTGCACCGGGTAGATTACCAACTGGAGGTGGTGGACTTTATCCTAGTGGTCCTATCCCAGGAATTATTACAACTTATCCTGGAGGTGTTCCAACAGAGACACTTCGTCGACCTGGAGAACGTTACCCAGCAGGTATTTCATAAAAATTGTAATACTAATAGTATAGTAGCCTTATAAGCAATTATTTATTTCAGAGACTTTCATTTCAGGAGTTTCTTATCCCATTAGTACTGGAACAGGAACATACCCAGGTGGAATTCCACCTGGAGTAAGTACAACGGGTGTTGTTGGAGGTACATATCCAGGTGTTTCTCCAGTGGGTGATAGAGGAATGTATCCTGGGGAAATAACTGGTACCATTGTCACGGGAGGTCCGGCTTATCCTGGTAGAGGGACCACAACGGATGGAAGAGGAATTCCTGGTGCAGGAATTTTTCCTAGTATTGTTACAGGTGCCAAAACAGATGTAGGTACTTCTATATCGTATCCCGGAATATCATCTGGAATACCAGGAGTTAGTGGTCCTGGCATCGTTTCTCCGCAAGGTGGACAAACTCAACCGGGTATAACTGGATATATAACGCCAGGAACCGTATATCCAAGTGCATCTTTACCAGGAGGTGGAATCCCTGGAATGACTACTACAGGTGGAGTTTATCCAGGTTCTGGTGTATATATGCCAGGAGGTGTTGTACCAGGAACAGGAACAATAGGAGGTGGTCAATTAATCGGACAGTATCCTCCTTCCGGAAGATTGCCTACTGATCAAATTCCTGGTGTCCCTCAATATCCTACAGCACAGTATCCATCAGGACAATATCCTGATACTAAACAATACTATCCAGGTGGAATCAGCGGTCAAACGATCCCAGGTCAATATCCAGGAGGTGTCGGTACCACAGGCGCCGTAGAGCCGTCACAATATTATCAAAAACCTAAAGATATCTCAAGCACGAGTGCAGAAGATGATACTGCAGATACCCAAGCATCTAGTTCCGTAAAACAAGTTGATTCTGGTACAGAAACAAGTGCATCCGCCCAAGGTAAATACGGAAAGGGTACTGCACAATCTCAAGTGTCTGGTATTTACAGTGGTTCTGCATCATTTTCGGCGCAAGCTGGTACAAGTGATATTAATAGAAGTGCTCAAGCCGAAATAAGTGGCGGGAAGGATGGTGCGGTTAGTAATGCGGAAGGTGTTGGTGGTCGTGGAAAGAGTCAAGCTCAGGTTCAATTAAATTCTGATTCTGGCGCTACCTCAACTGGAGCGCAAAGTAGTGGTTGGAATCATGGAACAAATTCTCAGGTGCAAGCCAGTTCCAAAGGTGGAATGGCAGATGCGCAAGCTAATGGCGAAGGGAGTACTTCCAGCCAGGCACAGATTGGATTTCAGCCATATTTAAAAGATGATAGCAAAATTGAAAAATATTCCCTTCCTTTCCGTGGTGGTGGTACGGCGTCTGCACAAAGTGGAACTCATAGGGGTCAATCTCAATCTCAATTACAGGGATCGTTTCAATACGGTATCACTTATACTGGTGCTGCACAGGCTGGATCAGGATCTGGCGCAGTAGCTTCTAGAAAACCATTTAATTTTAATCTTACCAATTCTGAAGTTTATAGGCCGTATAAACCGAATAATATACCATCGATATCCAGAAATGACGACACGGAAGTAACGACTGTGCCGAACGATGCTGATTTTAATCGTATTCAGGGACAGAGGCAAGGCTTACAAACAAGCTCAAGTTCACGACAAACGGTTATTAGTGGTGTATCAAAGGAAAAAGTAGAAAATTCAATGAATAGAAAGGAACAATCTACGGATAATAAACGCGTAACTGAGCCAGTTTATGAGGAGGAAGAATATGAAGATCAATACGAAGATGAAGATTATGATTCATCTGCTAGGCAAAATCCTCCACCCAATTTAGAAAGCTTTCCTTCTAATATAAAACAAGAAGATCAACATCAATCGCAAATGATACAAATCGGTAATGCTAATCGGTACGATGTTAGGGTAACTCAGGACTCAAATATTCTACATAAAGATGACAGATTACAACCGGGTCAATCTTTACCAGGTTATACCGTTCCACCTGGTTTTCGTGGAAGAGTAATGTCAGTTGCTGGTGATGATACAATTGCTAAAGGAGATGGAAAAGCTCAATCGCAAACTGTAGCATTAATTCCAGCACAACCAAATATTACCACTCTTGAAAACAAATCACTTGGTCCAGAAACACGATCGCTTCACAACAATTACGCTAGATTTACAGGAACACCTATTTCTAAAAGTAATAGTGATCGAACTCATACTCGATCGTCGTCTAATGGTTTCCTTACACGTGATTTAGATAAATCAATTAGACCAAGTTACTACACTGTAACAAACAGTGTTGCCGGTAAAATAGATGATAACAAAAATTCTCAAAAAAAATATGAACATCGGTATTATACTAAATCTTCCACGTGCGGATATTTTACATTTTCTTGCAACGTCGTATACGGCTCTAATGGTAGAACAAAGATTTGTAAACCTAAAGTACCAACATATCCCGATGGTACACCAATGAAATGTTAATTAATCACACTGTGTATATTAGATTATTTTATATATTGTATTATTTTATATATTAATCATTAGTTAAATTTTTATTGTCCATTTAGTTTATATATATATATATATATATATATGTAATCTCTTTCATATATCGCTTTTTGCCATAAAAATACGCATAATTGAAGAGACAGGTTAATCGTTTTTAAATATGTAACTATTATATAAACATCATAATTTCATCGAATATTATATTACTAGAATATTATTATAATTATTATATATTTTCTAAATGAATAATATTTCTCTCTCTGAAAATATTTCAATGCATGTTTTATCATATTTATCGATTTACCAATAAAATACATTCGAAATAAGTGAAGAGTATTATATGGTTTTTATTCATTCAATCATAATCTAATTTTTACGAGTCAATAATTTAAAAATAATTTTACTCTCACTATAGATAACATTTTTTCTATAAATGTTTGTTATCTAATTTCTATTAGTACAATATATTTTGTAACTGTAACATTAAAATCACGGGCACATAGGTAAATGCATCATTGCTTTATCATATTCTACTTACATTTTTAACATTGACATACGGGGTTTGAACCATACGAATCAGGTATCATGACTTGTACATTTAGTAAGTCTTTTAAAAGGTGGCAACTGTGTGTGTGTTATTAATTTTTCTTATGATATATACAGTGTGTACATAGATACAAATAATTATAAAAAAATATAAACTCTAAACAATCTAAATCGTCATTAAATAAAGATGTATACAAAGAAGAAATATAAAAAAATAACAATAAAAATATATATATATATAAAAAGAAAAAATTATATACAATAATAGTAAAAAATTCGGAATTTTATTAATAAAATAATAAAAAATTCTAAAAATATAATTAAACATATAAATAAATCTTATAAATGCACAGTTTTAAAAATACATTAACAGGAATAAGATTGGGTAAAATACCTAGTTTGCTGATTACTATGTATATACATTTACAAAGTTGGTAATGAAATAATGTTGTCAGTAGACTCTTAAGATTACACAGGAATATAAGAAATATAAATTACTTTTACCTCCTAACGATTTGTTAACTCCATTTAGTTTCTTAACTAAACGAAATGTGAATATGTTTCCGTAGCGATCGTGTATTAGGCTTGATTTACTTCATAGTCTAAAACAGTAAATGCAAAAGCATAATTTCATACTAATTTATATCTTAATCATAGACAGATTAAATCATACCATCGGATAATTCTTCATCGTCGTTTAATTTATTATCTAATGATTCCACGGATCTGTTCACCCCGCTTGTTTCAGAACTAACGATGAAGCAGAGAGAGAGAGAGAAAGAGAGAGAGAGAGAAAGAGAGAGAGAGAGAGAGAGAGAAAGAGAGAAAGAGAGAGAGCATATGATTAATTTAGAACATATAATTATGTTAGATGGAAAATAATAATGTACCTGTTTTTAAAATGTTCTAATTGTACATTAGCTGACTGCAATTGTTCCAGAAGATCTTCATTGGCCCTCTGTAATTTACGTACACTATTGGTTGCAACATCTACTTCGTCTTGAGCTAAAGATAATTCTTTTTTAAGTTCGTCTACTCTTCCTCTGACTCTTTTAACTTCTCCTTCATATTGCTCCAATCTTCGCATTGCGTGTGATAATTCTGTTGTTTTTTCACCTAACAGTTTTTTCAACTTTGTTTGGGAATGTTTTATATCTGATAACTCCTGATGAAAAGAAATAATGTAAAATCCGTTTAAAAGACATGGAGAAATTTTATATAAAATATAAACCTTGTTTCTATCCAAAAGCTCTTGTTGCAAGAGTTTTCTATCCAATTCCGTATCCGTAGTGGAAAGTGGACGAGATCTTCGTGATTCTAGTCTTTCTTGTAAGTCATGCAATTCAATTCGTAATTGCTTATTTTCTCTCTCCAATGAAATTTTTTCAGTCTCTAAACGTTCGCGTTTACCCCATTCTGCTGCATTTTCAGCTTGTAATTTTCCTAATTTTGTCCATAATTCTGACAATCTATGATCCATTCCTTCTTTACTTAAAGTTTCAACAACCAAATCATTGTGGGCGCTGCTAAGCTCATCTTGATATCGTTCTTTTAATTCTAAAAGTTCTCTTATAGCTTCATCTCTACTTTTTTGAAGTTCCTCGCACTGTTCTTGTAACTGTGTAACTTCTACTTTCAATTTTTCCATGTCATTGTGTAATGAATTCTTTTCTCTACAAAAATAAAATAAAATAAAATAAATTAATCGGTAAGACAAACGATGTCTTACAAAAAATAAAATGTTAACTGTAATTTAAGTAATCGATTTTCCTTTATTATTTGCGCAGGATATTAAAAAATTTATTATTTCTAATTTTTTTGCAATAAATAATTTTCTCTTTCCTGTATATATTTAAAAATTAAGAATTATAAAAAAAAACAATTAAAAAACAAATAGAAAAAAATTATTTAAAAAAACTTCCCCGATGGAGGATCGAACCACTGACTAACAGCACGAGAAGCGAGCACGCTACTACTTACGCTATCGCGCCATTTGATAAAAAGTTGCATTTAAAATATTATAAAAATGTATACAAAAAATCAAAACAAAGCTTTTTCTCAAAATCTCTTTGTTAGATATATATAAAAGATATTGCTTAAATAAAAACTTACACTTTTTCGTCATAAATAGTTTGAGTTGCCTCATCCAACCTAAGTTGTAACATAGATAGTTTCTGCGCTAATACTTCCTCATTGTACATTTCTATTGAAGATTGACGTTTTTCTGCTTTACTTTCTACCGATGATTCTACAGCTAATTGTGCAATATCTCTGTCTAATGTACTCAAAGAACCTTCTTTATATAATTCTACTGCATGTTTTGGAACTGCACCTTGAAGTACATACTCTTCGATATCTCTATCCGGTAAAGCAGTATGAATACTCATATTAACATTTGATTCCTCAAACGATCGTTGGCATGATAATGCTTCTTTTTGACTCCCTTTTTCTTGTTGCTCTACATTATTGTAAAAGTCTAACAATTCATCTATACCAAGTGTACTCCTTAATTGTGAATCGGATTCCAACACCGAGAATATTTGCTGATTGAAATGTCCTGCATGTTTCAATAATAACATATGTATCTTTTCTATTTCATTTTTCAACTGTTCATTTTTCATTTCCAATTCTTGTGATTCATGTTTATACGTATTAGCATCCTTCATAGCAATTTCTAATTTAGCTCTAAGAGCCTTGGCTTCTTCTCGAGCCATGTTCCTTTCGTTTCTAACTTTGCTCCACTTTTCACGCCAATTGGCAGTACAATCTGACCACCATCTCATAGTTTTTTCCATTTGCGCTGCACGTGCTCTAGCTTCCTCCAATTCTCTTTGCGGCAATGCCTAATATTACGAAAAATTAACAAATAAATACTTGCAATGGAAAATAATTTCCATTCTTTATATATGAATAAATATCAAAAAAAAGATAAAAACAAAGTGAAATCATAGTTTCACAAATATGTAATAGTAGTACCTCTTTAGTTTCCCATTCATTAGCCATATAACGTGAGGAAGAAGATACATTAACGTCATGTTCTCTCATGTATCGTCGAGATGACGTTCCACTGGCCGTAGATTGTGCCATGACTGAAAAAACTAACCTACGTTCCTTTTTTGCTAACAAAAATACTTTAAAGTCTTAAGAAACAATGCTAAATCAATAATGTTTGCGAATAGATACAATACGTGTTAGTCGTATAATTTATTTATTATATTATTCTCTTCATCGTTTAAAAGAATTTTTCTATATTGATATATATTATTAGTGTAACAGCAGGTCAGTTTACGTATGCTTATCTTTCCGCATGCAACACCTGCATGCAGTTACACACACGTTGCATTCACCTGTGTTTATTAATGTTCATAGATAAAATTCGTTTATATTCAATCTGCATGAAATAGGTATATTGGGAATACGTATAAATGATTTATTACAAATATAAAGATTGACCAGACAGACCACTATTACAAAAAACTAGATTTCAATCGCACCCTTAAGAACTTATAGGTTCGCTAGTGTCGTTATTTTTAAGTGCTCCCTCTTGATTACAATTATTTTTATCAAATTTCTTTTAAGCTCTTACTGTATAATAACATTTCAGTGTTTTATACGAATGAAACATTGGTTTTGATATCTGAGAGATAAAGTAATGGTAAATTAAATAAAAATAAATAATAACCACAATAGTAGTAAACATATTGACCTGCCATCTATGCAAGGATTACCAAACTATATGAACCTTGTCAAGTTATTATCACGTGATAATGTAGCGCAGTGCCATCTATTGGGGGGTGAAAAAAACTTTTGAACACGTGATTTTTTACTGTGATTTAAAAACAAGAATATATAAATAATAAATCCTCGACGAGATAATTATTTTTCATAAATTTATAATAAACGATAAAAACCACAATCCATTCTTTACAATATATATGTATATTAAATATATGATTAAATATAAATATAAGTTATATATGATTAAATATAAATAAAAGTATGCAACAATAATTTCGATGGACGAGAACAAAAATATAAATTATTCGCGTACTTTATAATAATAATAATAATAATTGTCATAAAATGTTAGCAATAAGAAACTCTTTTCCTATGGATTAGTCTAGTTTTAATAATAGTAATGAAGAAGGAGCTCGAGCTTTCGTCCCTTGAATTTCTTCTTCTTCTTCTTCTTCTTTTACCATCCCTTCTATTCTTCATTCTTGGAAGAAATAAAAGCAGAGTTGTAAGAGTCGGATGATTAATATCCAGCCGACAGTTTGTGAAGCGGACAGCCAATAAACGGGATAAAAATACTCGTGAAAAATAGCGCGCTCATTAGGGGTACAGTCACATCTGTGACTGCTGCCTGGAACGCGCTAGAGGAGACCAGAAAGTCGCGACGTAGAAGGCAAAACGGAGGGACAGATTTATTAAAGTAATGGTAGATTATTTTAATATTCCGATGGGAGCGCGCGTGCTCTCTTTCTTTCTTTTTTTCTTTTTTTTCTCTTTCCCATCCTCTCTTTTTCTCTCCCTCCTACCCCCTTTCCACCCCTACCACCCCATTTTCTCATTCCTCTCCATTCGTTGTCTTGTGCAATTCAATAATCCTCCTCCTTGCCCCCATCTTTTCCCTCTTTCTTTTCCCTCTTTCTTTTCTTTTATAACCGGAATTGAAATAGCAAAAGCTTCCTCCACTCGTTTTACATTATTAGTAATAAACTCTGATGTTTTACGCGATGCCAGGCAGCTTCTACGTTTTGCCTTCTTACTATTTTAAAACTTCAAACTTGCTTTCGCATTCATGGACATTTTTCGGTATCAACGATACGTAGTATATATGTATAAGTCATCTTTGTAATATTATTATTCTTTAAAACATTTTTCTAAAGAAAATCTCAGCGTAAATTTATTATAGTGAGAAACAAGAAAAATAAGAGAGATAGGTAGATAGATAGATAGGGAGAGTGAGAGAAAGAAATCTGAAAACGGTAACGCGTAATTTTGGATTTCGAAATCGTATAGAGATAAATTTATTTGAGCATTTTTGTGTTTTCGAAATCTATTCGTATGATCTTCCATTGCGTATACACCCAATGTATATTACTCGATGTTCGAAATATTTTTCGTGCTACTCTTTTTTTGTTGTTGTAATTTTTCGACAGAGCAGAGGGATGGTTGGTTGGTTGGTTGGGAAGGTTTTTATTTGGTTCTCTCTCTCACCCCCAGTTCTTTTTTTATTTTATTTTCTTTTTTATCGAAATTAAACGTTTCACTTTATCGTTACGTACGGCAATTAATAATAACTCACGATCGGGCATATCTTTTATAACCTTCCGGAGTATAAATTGCGAAATTCTGGAATTATCAGGCGACGGGAATGAAAGGCTATTTCCGTTGCACGAAATCGCGAGCAATATTTTACGCGGGATTGGGGTTGAACGCGGACACATCGACGTTTGATATTTTTATGCAGTGGCGCCACCGCGGTGAGATTTACGAGGCAGATATGCGATCACAAAATGTCCGACACTAAATCAAACATGTTGCATTGGAAAACATCCGAAATTATTATTGGGACTTTTATTGGTCTTCCGGAAATGAAATAAATGTATGACGTAACTTTTATAACCTTCCTATATTCTCGATATATACGTATATATATATATGTATATATAATATAAGTATAATATAAGTTAAAAAACAAATGACTATTGAAACAGGGACTAATTCAAATGACATCACTTCTCATAAAAAGAATCTGACTGTAATCGAATATTTTTAATAATTTCATCATTATTTTCTATCAACTAGATAATAGAGTATATAGAAATAACAAAAGTTACGTTTAAATTATAGAAGATGACAACAAAATATAGAAAAGTCACGTATTTTGGGGTAGTCCGGTACGAGGCAATATATCGCAGGTTATTGTCCATTAGAGGAGCGCAACGTGGCCATCTACGCCACCAACTTATTTTATGATATTGCTGACTTTCTCTTGCTTTTCCTTCTTCGACGGTCATTCTGTCTTATAGTAAGTATCACGGATATTCACTATCCATTTAACTTACTTTAACGCATCCGATGAACTTTCTAACAGGTTCACCGAGCAATATTATCAACGTAACTCTGTCTATCGTTAAAGACGATAAATATATCCATCGATAAATCGATCTCTCTCTATCTTTCTCTTTTGCTTAATCATCGATCATTCCCTTCATTTGAATTTCGAGTCTGAAAATGATCGTAATCGTGAAAAATGTATCATTCTAAACGGTCTCATAAATCTGCTCCTAACACTACTCTACTACTTTAGCACAGAGAAGGAAGAAGAGTAAGAGTAAGAGAAACAGAGACAAAGAGAGAGTGAGAGAGAGTAAGAGAGAAAGAGAGAGAGAGAGAGAGTACTGTAAGAGACGATGGCAGAGAGGGCTGGTTAATTGGCATGACAGATAGAGGGTGCGAGAGAAGTTGTCGCTTAGTAACATTACGTCGCGATGAAAGTGATATCCAACCCCCCTACGTCGTACCAACCCCCGCTACGCTCTACCGCTCGCACACAACTCCATTTTCCCCTTCCCCTCAACCCCCGGCGTGGTCTTCACAGATGAACGATCAGAGTAGTTTCCAGGAGCATTCGATTTCTACTATCATTAGAAACGTTCCAAACAATCATTAATATTACGAGATACCCGAAAAGCTATTACCATTCATCGACCGACATGTAGTCGGTTCGAGTGATGATAATGGTGTTTAAAAAAAAAACACACACGCACACACATATAGAAAAAAAATCATAGAAAAGGGATTCGAACAAAAAAGAATGCAGTATTTTAAATAACGAAACTTATAACTCTAAATCTGATGTGAATTAAAAAACAAAAGAACAACAAGTATTTTTGAATGAACGAATATTTGTTTAATAAAGATGAATAAAAATTAGTAAAGTAAATTCATTTTTCGTTTTAATAATCATGTATAGAATCACGTAATAGACTGGCAACCAATCTAAACTGAAAATTTACTTAAACCGATTAGCATGGTGGCTCTTTTCTCTTTCTCTCTTTCTCTTTTGTAACATCTATCGGCGTCGTATCTCTTTGTCAAGAAGCCGAAGCCGAGTATGTTTGCGCGGGGTCGAGAACAGTACACTAAGCTACAAAAGACCAACGTAGCTTTATATCCCCGACTAACATCGTTTACTGCTTTTCCCTTCTCTATACATCATCCGACGACTCATCTGCTGACTTGTTATTAAATTAATCCTTCGTTTAGTCAAATTGATGCATTGATATCACAGAGCACTCATAACTCACGACACCCTCTCTTGTTTCACGTATATACGTATACACAAACATACGCAAATAGTGAGAGTTAGATAGTTAGAATTAAACGGAGACAGAGAGAGAGAGAGAGAGAGTGGGTGAGAGGATGAGAGAGAAAAAGAACAAATGTAGACCACCCTCTTGATCTAACGAAAGGGGTGGGAAGGTTACAAGAGCTCTCTGCGTGATCACCATTTGCTACTTTACTATTTATTAATATCTTTTAGTTAACATTTTATAACACCATTTGCACACGGGGTAAGACCAATGCTTACGTCATCTGGGCTGTGATAAGTGACGCCCAACTCTCTTATTAATCTTCTTCTATGGGAAATGCGAGAGAAAGAAGATAGTTTTGATAATATTTTTGGTTTCACGTCATCAATAATTCAACTCCGGTTATTCTTCCTCGTTCGACGATCAGTTTTTAGGAGAAGGAAAAGGAGAAGGGGTGGAGGAGGATGAGATGGAAGAGTGGAGTTGGGGCAACAGGGGGGCGTTTACTTTGTCTATGCTGGAGATCTTGTTTCGAGTAAGGCAACCGTTCAAAATGGGGTGACTTTAATACCCGCAAATAAAAGTGCACGTGACTCTTTTAAATAATCCTTTGGTAACTTTGGACTTTTTCTCATTTGGACTATTCAAAACAATTGCATTGTACAACTATTTTTTTCCTATTTTCTTTTTTATATACCCCGTTTTTCACACACAAGATAGAGATATATATTATTATACTATATTATAAAGATATATTATAATACTTAACCTAAAAATTACACTTACATATATGGATGTATACCTTTGTATATATGTGTATAGAAAGAAAAAGAGAAAGAGAAAGAGAGAGAGGTATTGTGGGTAGCAAGAATCTAATACTTTTTTATATCCAAAGAAAATAGTATCGATTACGACGTGGACCTTACTCGGGCAAAGTCATAATCCGTAACCGTGGGGGTCCCTTTTCGTAAGCGCGCGAATCGCTAACTCGCTTTTCCACTCGTATCCTTTTCCTAGTATGGTGTTACCGCACCACCATACCGTACCGCACGGTACGAGAACAACGTATACGTTGTAACTTGTAGGGTATTTGAGAGGTAAAAAACATGATGCCAAAACTCCTGCTTTAGAGAGACAGGAACAGAGAAATAGAAAACGAGAAAACGAGAAAGACAAAGGGAAGAGAATGAGAATGAGAATGAGAATGAGAAAGATAGAAATATAGAGACAGAGACAAAGAGAGAGAGAATAGAAACGTGTGCCACGTCTGAGCAGAATCGAGTAGAGTAAAACGGGCGCAGGGTAGGCCATAAACAAGTGCTTACCGCAA